ATGGCTATGATATCTCAGAAGGAACAGCTAATTTATCCTTCTCTACAGCAAGAACAGTGTAGTGGTGCCTTTTATGTTAGATCTTGTCCACTGTGGGTCAGATCCCTCAGTGGTCCTTGTCTACGTTTGTTTCCTTTCTTTCTTCCCAAGATTAGTGTTATGTCTTCTGTTATTCAAGCAACATGTTCCACACAAAACAACCTCTCAATCCCACTGAAAACTTGCTGCTTATCTAAAGCTGGAGTTCATCAACTTCATGTTCACATGTACAGGTAATACCCATAAGGCTGGAACAGCCCGTCTCAGCTGACTGTTCTGGAAAGTGATGCTCTTACAATTTTTTTGACTCTAATTAAAATACATTTGAAGCAACGTACACTCAAATCCTGTCTTCCACTTTTTTTAAGCTACTCACTGTGGAAAAAACTATCTGTCAGTGTCTTTTAATAGACTGAAGCAGGACAGTGTCTTTCACAGTTCTAGTTCTCCAAGGAATGTAATGTTAACAAAGAATATGACAAAATGCCTTTATCACTTCTCCAGCTCTTGTGAGGGGTCCTAGTGAACATCTTTCTTCTCAGTGACTGCCACATATGTTGTGAAAATATATGGAATTTTAGTGTTGCTATTCAGACTTGCTGATGACCAGCTTGAGTGCCCAAAGCCATGTGTGAATCCAGCATCTTCACAATGAAGTGCTCTATGCTTTTCTTTTACATAAAATATCTTATTTACAGCTTTAACTACATGTACAACTCTTCACTTTCTAGAAACAAGGAGAAAAAAGTTAATTCTCACCTGCCCCGAGTTTCTATACTTGGAAGCAAGGGCTCCTGCAACAGCACGGTCCACATTGGCACTGTCAAACACTATAAAAGGAGCATGTCCTCCAAGCTCCATGGAAACTCGCTTCACAGTGCCAGCTGCATGTTTCAGCAATATCTGCAGGCAACAAAAAAGAGAAATCTGTACCTCTGCCAGATGTGAACTGTGGAATCATGAATATGAGGCAGTGAAAAATTAACTCTGGCAAGGAAATAATCTGCATTTCTCTATAATGTTAGATTACTTCCTATAACAAAAACAAAAATAAAGTTCCTTCACTGAAATTTTTAAATTCTGGCCAAGAACTAATGAAGAGAAGGATTTTGATCAACTTAAGGTCAGGTCAAGCTTTTACACAGTAATATTGTTACTTCTGTTTGCTTGTTCGATCCTTTCTCAATAATAAAATCTTGACTACTCTTAGAAAAGTTTTCCAAGATCTGACAGAATTTGGGATCAAGATTTCTCTTGATACTAGACCTTTTTCTAATTCTGCATACAGCCATCCCATAGAATTCTATCACACTCTGCAGTTTTAGTGATTTCATCAGATGGCAACAAGATTGCTTATTGACTACAGCAGAGATTCCTGAGCCTTACTTCTCTAACACTTTCTCTCAACTGCAGGAGCCATTCCTGAATAGTACCTCTGAAACTCAGTTTCAGTGTTCTTATTAGTATGTTGTCACCTTACTGATATAGAACAAGAACATCTTATGTAAAACTGTTCACATTATAATTTAATAAAGGGCAGTTATCAAGAAGATGCAGACAGGCATCCTTCTGTGAAGTACTGATACTAAACAAATAGGCAGTTATCTCAAGAAGTACACAATTATTTGGGCAGTCTGTGTACAGCAGCCAAAAAAGAAGGCTCCGTATAAAGGCACACACTTTCCCCCTACCTTTCCAGTATAACCACAGTAATAATCTTCATGGATATTCTGTCCACTTATGTACCTTTCCCGTTGCTGTAGAGCCAGTAAAAGATATTTTGGATACCAGTGGATCAGTGCACAGCACTTCCCCTACGGCTGCTGTCTGTTGTCTGGAACAAGGAACAACGTTATACACTCCTGCTGGAATTCCAGCCTGGTTTGCAAGCTGCAACAAAAGAAAAACAGAATTTCCATTATCAGTGCATTTTGCATTAGGAATAGTCACAATGTTTGTTAATTGTTTTGAAGAAACTAGTCTGTAAGTCAAGAGAAGCCAAAAGGGCTCAGCACAACTAGTAACAGATGCCACAGTATCAAGAGAGCAGCTTGTTCTGGTTTAAGCTGTCTGTTCAAAGTAACCAAATGAAAGATATAAGAATGTTTTGTGTGGCTAAACAGCCCAATCCTCTTTGAGGATCTAGGCCATATTAGAGGCAACTTCCAAAGATTCTCACTAAAATAAAACCCCTGGATCAAGTCAGCCAGTTTGCCCTTTCTTTAAGTATGAAGGGGGCCAGAGTTACCTTCAAAGCACATAGAGTTACCTTCAAAGCACATTTGACTCCCCATTTACAGCTTCACTCAACTGCTAAGATAAAGCTTAAAATGAATGCTCACCTCCCCAAGAGCTAATGCTGATAAAGGTGTGTCCTCTGCAGGTTTCACTACCACTGTACAGCCAGCTGCCAGAGCTGCACCAACCTTCCGGGTAATCATAGCGCTGGGAAAATTCCACTAGGGTGAGAGAAAAAAGTACAATCCAAGTTGGGAAAATTCTGCCACCTGTTTTTGCAGAAATAACTGACATTTTCTGTAATTAGTTGTGCATGATGTGCTTTGTCCTAAGTGAATATTAAAAAGAAGCACTGCCGATCAAGGAAGAAGGTAGAAATTAAAATTTTCAGGGGTGTTTTCCAGGGCTGGAGGAGCCATAAGGCCACGGCCCCATGCTGTGGGCTGAGCTGAAAACATCCAGGTGATTCGAAAAAGTTCAGCAATGCTTACTGGGGTTATAATGGCTGCCACTCCTACTGGCTGCTTCAGCACCAGCACTCTTCTGTCTTTTGCAGGCGCTGGAATAACATCACCATAAATCCGGCGAGCCTCCTCCGCAAACCACTCCAGAAATGAGGCAGAATACACGATTTCACCCTGTGCTTCTTTCAGAGGTTTCCCCTTTGATTAAATCAGATTGAAGATACATTGTAAGCGGCAAAGTGAAGCACTAAAAACAAATTCAAGTAATTTTGCAGTTTCTGTTTTTTTCAGAGTACTTTATGGTCCCCTCCCTATCAGGTACACTCCAAGATCTCCAAAAACGACTGTACGATTGCAGCAGCAACAGTTGTGCAGCTTCAATATACTATCATTGACTGTATAGTCAACATTTTGTATGCTGTGCCTGGATTCATATCGGCTCAAGACAACGAGCAATAGCAAATGTATGTAATTATTTAAAAACTCTGCAGTTAGCTGCTATTGCCTTTCTGAAGAAAGAACCAAAACATGGCAAAACAGTTACAAGTTCATGCCATTTGTGAGACATTTGTTTTGGGAGTATTACTCTGAACTGTCTCCAGGGCTGACCCCCGTGGACTAAATGACCATTAGCAGCTATGACACTACAGAGGAGCTGCTTGAAGTATCTTCCCACAAGGTTTCATCTGAAAGGACACCCGTTTGCGAGCTCCCAGACTACTCTGTGGTACAAACTAAAGCAGACTATGTGAATCCAACCTGGTGACTTGCTTTAATAGCACTGCAGTTTTTTTCCCAGTCAATGACACTGATAAAACACAAACATTCCTGCCATGAGGACCGCAGTTTAGCTGGACAACGTGGCTCACCATGAAGCACAACGTGGGTTCTGGCTTTTGCGTGTTACGTACCACTGCCACCAAACCAATGCCCTAGAAGAGCAACGGGAACGCACAATGCGCCTCAACTTTTTTAAGTTCTCAAAAAAGCCAGGGTGGCTAACTGGTGAGATACGCACAGGGTGTTTCGTTAGCGGTCAGTTTTACTTTAATTCGCTGCTCGCATCTCTGTGTCGGGTTTCCCAGTCCGAGTGCTGGCACAGGGCAGCGCCCGTGCCCACGGGGGCAGAGGCGGCCTCGTCCCCCTACTCACGTTTTCGGCCGTGATGATCCGCGCCAGCTCCTCCTTGTTCTCCATCATCAGCTCGTACCATCTGCGGAGCCGCAAGCTCCTCTCCTGGCAGGGAGAGACAAGGCTGCCGCGGCCGCCGCATGCAGGGACGGGGCAGCGGAGCCCCGGGAGCCGCGGCCGGTGCCGCCCGGAGCTCCCCGCCCGCGGGGCCCCCTCGCCGCCCCCTCCCGCGGCCGCTCACCTTGGCGGGCAGGCGGCCCCAGGCGGCGCCGGCTTC